CCATTCTGTGGTTCTATGATTCTGTTCACAGTGGAAAATGTCTTGCTCCAAATCTGGATTTTCTTTTGGATATCGTTTGTAACAAGGCACAAAATGTACATGTCAGTTTGCATCGAAGCACAACACTGAGAATTAGGTATTTGTTTGAACTTCAGAAGTCTATTTTTGAATGGCACTGTCTGGAATCATTCCATCAGCTGAAGAAAATTGTTCTGCTGAGGCATTAACTTACTTGGTACCATTATTAGGATGTTTGAAGTTGTGGCATCCAGTTTCTTTTTGTTTTGATGACTTTGGGAGACTCCAGCCTTTCAGCGCAGTGTTAGCAAACTAACTATTCAGCCTTGTATCTGGTGTGCTGCCACAAATTCGTATTATTAGCAGGAAAATTTGTTTAAATCACTAAAGCTATAAATCTAATGGGGTTTCTAATGAATTCAGTTGCCCAAAGGTACTCGCTAATTCGGTACTACTGCAGATGAACAGCGTGTGTACCTTGGCCTCCCACCGCTGTTCTGGAAGGAGATGAGGCTCTCATAGGTTCTTCCGCTTCCGTACAGGTTGTCAGACAGCACTACAGCCAGTACTTGGGCACCCACGTCCCACCCTGGCAGTCCTGAGAGTCTCAGCTGTTGAGTTGTCACGTTTAAATATGACATCTAAGACAATAAATTACTGTGACTTTGTAGAAATAAGAGCCTCTCCAAATTAACAGATCCTTGTAAAAGAACCAAGGGGCTCTGTCTGCATATTGCCTGAAGTTATGCTGAAGTCCAGCTAGCCGTGTTATGAGCAGAACTAAGGATGTGTGACTCGGTTCAAATAATCATGCAGACAGATGCAGAGGAACAGAGAGCTGTGTATAATCTTCTGAGCTTTGATCTTATGTTGTTGCAGGTTCCTGATAACCCACCAAATTATATCCTTTTCCTTAATAACTTGCCTGAGGAAACAAACGAGATGATGCTGTCCATGTTATTCAATCAGTAAGTTTTGAATAGAAAGGACTTTGTCTCTGAATTCTTCTGTTACCTGTACATTTTTTCTCAGTTGGCAAGCTGAGATATAACTTTCTTCAGAAGGTATTTCAGTTCTTGGTCTTACTGCCAAGATTACAGATGTCAGTTCTGATGACTTGGTGCAGAAATCAAATGGGATTTTTTTAGTGGCTGGTTTTGATTGTGTAAGTATCAATCTGCACTAAGGACTTTGTCTCTGAATTCTTCTGTTACCTGTACATTTTTTCTCAGTTGGCAAGCTGAGATATAACTTTCTTCAGAAGGTATTTCAGTTCTTGGTCTTACTGCCAAGATTACAGATGTCAGTTCTGATGACTTGGTGCAGAAATCAAATGGGATTTTTTTAGTGGCTGGTTTTGATTGTGTAAGTATCAATCTGCACTACTGCACCGCATTTAAGCTGTTGACAGTCATATTAATTTTTAAAACTAGCTTTAGTTGCTTCCATACGTGCCCAAGACTGATTAAATTGCTTCCAGTTAATGATCCTTAATTGAGGCACGGTTCTAAGGACTGGATATTTAAAACCCTTCAGTTTAAATCTTTAATCAGTAGTAACTATTATACCAATAGATGCTTATGATGAAGTCTTATGGCTACTGAAGAGAGATGTATTATCACACTAGGAAATATTATCTGACTCTCTCACCTTATTTTAAAGGTTTCCTGGATTCAAAGAAGTACGTTTAGTGCCTGGGCGCCATGACATTGCATTTGTCGAGTTTGAAAATGAGAATCAAGCAGGAGCTGCTCGAGATGCTCTCCAAGGATTCAAGATTACTCCATCCCATGCCATGAAAATCACTTATGCAAAGAAATAGCCAGATGCTCGTATAAAGGACTTCTGTGGATAGTTACGTTTTTTTTTAATATGATGATACTTTGATCAGCTAGCCTAGTTGCTCCAGAAACTTGTGTAAAATTGCCACAGCAGCCAGGACAGATGTAGGATTTCCACAGATCTACTAGATAGTTATTTTTTGTGTTGAAATACTAATTTTTATAAAATAAATTCAGTTTATGCTGTTTTCAAGCCATGTTTACCTTGAATCTGTCTTACTATTAATCTGTTAGACCTGCAGGGCTTGTTCAGTGTATTGGTTTAACTACTTTTAAGGTGACACTCATTTCTCAGAAGGGAGTGCTGGAAAAATTACTGTCTTCACAGAGCAAAAAGCATGAGCAGGACTGCCAAAAGTCCGCATATTCAGAATAAATGTAACACTCAATCTTCAGCCTCATTATCAAGGGGACAGCTGCTTTTCAGCAAGAATAATTTTGTCGCTTAAGAAAAACATCATCTCATTAGTGGTTTGGGTTTTTTTTCCAGGTATAGGGGGAAGTTGATTCCAGTTTGACAGCACTGTTGTTAAACTTGCTTTTGTCTTTCTAATGGCAGCTGGTAGTAGAAGCAGGTGGACAGAAGAAACATAAAAGTTTATCTCTTGTCTTCTCTTCTGCTCTTTCTAGCCCTATTACCAGGAATGTTAATAAATAGTTGAGGAAGAGCTTTCTGGCTCTTTACAAAGACAATGCAGGATGAACCCAATGGTCATTTTAGGCAGGTTTTTCCAAAATACATGTCCCAGTGCTTCTGGGTTTGTTTTGGGTTGTGGGTTGGGTGGGTTTTTTTTTCCTTTGTCAAAAACCTTTACAGGTCTTGAGTGACATGAAATAAACTGATGTAGTCAAATAATCGGGTATAGTGTTGTGAGTTTGTAACTGTACTACACATTTGGGTACAAAAATCACTTAAGTGTTTCGTTCAGGCAATGGAAGACCTAGAAAGATGTTTTCGATGAAGAGAATAATGAAATTAACTTAAAATATTATATTTTTGGTGAATCTTGCAGTAGCCGTTGCATGGTGTTGGCAAGGAGGACTGCAATCAGACCCTTGAAGATTAATGTTTGAGAGGAAGCGGTCACACTGTGCTTGTCATGTTGCACCGTCACTCACCTGAACAGTCTCTGTGAGGCCAGTAACTACCCTTTCAGACAGAGAAGTAATGGGAGAGAGTTAGCATGTTTTCCTTTAGAAATAATTCAGGCAAGTCTTAGAGTAGGTGATGTTTAGGCAAGAAACTACAAGGAAAAAACGTTTTGCGTTGTTAGCTAAGTTGAAAGTGTTCAGGGTGTTCTGTGTCTCCCAAGTAATTTGGACAGTGGGGTGGAAGGATGCTGGATGCTGTAGCCTTCCCACTGTTACAGTGGCTCAGTGCAGTCCCTGCCTTGTGTGGGCTTGGCTGCAGCTGCAGAGCATGTTTCCCCCAGCTTGTGTTCTGAAACAATTGAAATCTGACTTAAAACCGTTCTTGGGGCAAAGTGCTGTACCTTCAGGGAAGTAATGATTGCTTTGGTATACTTCACAGTTCTGGCATGTCTGCTCGCTTTCTGAGCAAGTGCTCTATTATCTGTAAGCATAAAACTAGCTGCATAAACCACCTTTTTTGCACAAGACCAGAAAAATTCTTCATCTGCTCCTAGAGTATGCTGCAAGATAATGCCCCTTCCACAGTCATCTCAGTGACTGAACTATCTCCGTATATATTTTTTTCACTCTTTTTAGTGATTTTTATGTGGGTGTGTGCATGTGAGAGAATACTTGCAAGTGATAATTGTTTCAGTGTGCCTGTAAGGGAGCAAAAGTGACTGTTATTCCATGATGACCATTGGTTTTCCCTCTGCATTCATAATTTTACAGGTATTAATTATGCTGCCCTTGCATCCTGCTGGTCTGTGGACATGAGGCTATCGTTGCATACCACTGCTCTTCACCTTTATTCCTTAGAAGGGTTTGTGTGGAGCTGTCTGCAGAGGGAGTTAAGACACATACAGGAGGTTGGAGGAAGGAGTAATGGGCTGGAAGATTAGAGGAGGATGTGGTGAAGTCAGCTGTAATATGAAGGTGACGCTAGAAATTGCAAGATGCTTTTTCTACAAAAAGAGTGGGATTTTTTTTTTATGATGGTTGGCAGCTTCCTCTGTTCTGCTTGGGGACTGAAAGCGGGCACAGTTCTTCAGGCATCTTCATGAATCGGGAAGCACTGGTTCTCTGGAGTGCCATATTGGGAATTTCCAAACTTGCTCTTAGTCATTTTTCAGGGTTGATTCACACCAGCCACCTGTAGCCTGACAGCTGGGATGTGAATGGCTTACAGTGCCATAACTCCGGTGGTTGTTCCTTTTGTGCATCTGCATGCATGTATTTTAATTAAAATACTCCCGACAAGTCTTGCCTCATGCATGCTAGGGTGAGATTTTGGGAAGTTAGATGGATTCTGTATGTCCTCTCCAAGGAATAAAGAGGAACTTTTAAGTTGGCCTGAGGCACTCTATGTTGTTCAGCATCTTGCATCTGCAAACTCACCCGAGTTCAGCTATGTAAATAAAAGTGAAATGCTTGCTGTCCTGGCGTAACCTGTGTGTTGCTCTCGACTGCCCCTCCCTGTGGAAGGCATCTTGCCTATACAAGTATGTGATGGTTGAACTCTTAGATTTCAAATTCAAATTGCTGGCTTGCAAGACTTTTTACTGGGTTTCAGCTCCCTAATGTTCACATTTGTGTCCATGTGTTAAGGTCCTAGTAGGTCCTTTCTGTCTCCCATAACGGGGCTCTGCCACTGAGGGCTTGCAGTCCAGTGAAAATTGCGCTTGTCAGTGAGCATTCTTGGAAATAAAGAACTTGAGGATTAGGAAGGATGTAATTTCCTTTGCTGCTTACCAGGGTCTGACTTAATTTTCATTCTCAAACTTTGCTGGAGGCAAGATTAAGACTACGGACAGCTACAGGAAGGCTTAAAATGTTTAAATAATACAGATGCTGATTGAAATGTTAATGCAGAATGGCTTTGGGAGGGGATTTGGTTTTGTGAGTGGACCCTGAGGTCTTTCTGGCTTCGGCTCCTCTGCTGGGGTGGAATGTCACCCCGACCCCTTCCAATTGGCCTGGCATGTTTGTCCAGGTGTCTGCCTCTTCCATAAGAGATGGGGGTCGCTGGACCCGGCATGCATTCTGCAAGCGCTGCAGCAAAGAAGAATGACTCGACGTGTCTGGTTGGTTGGTTTCCTTTTGTGTCTCAGATTCACGTGTCCTCTTGTGACTGGAATTTTTATGGACAAGCTTGCCAGCCAGAAGCTGTGTGCTGATGATGACTGTGTCTGTAAGTAATTTTGCTCTAATTTTGAGGACAAAGTAGTTTCAAAAGTGACCGCAGAGTTTGGATGCGGTAGTGCAAGGGCAAACTACTCGGCTTTCTCACCTCTCTTATATTTGCATTGCCTTGTCAACTTTAAAAGCAGAATGGGAGGGTTTGTGTAGAATGTCCATGCAGTTTTACTGCAAAAAGGGCTTTTATAAAGGCCGTTTTTCACTGAAGTGAAAGGTAGATGTAGAGAGAAGGATTGTAACTTCCACTATGATGACATGGCATGTTCTGAAGCTGGTACTTTGCTTACTGGAGAACAGAAAAATGAGCAGAACAAATTCTTGAGGAATTTTATTAGTTTCAGGATAACCTACTTTTATCTGTAGAAATAGTTTTACATGTGTGTCTACAAGCGCACGCATATTTCTTTCTCTAAAAGTACATATGCATTTAAATTCATCCACTTAATTTTTTTTTTTTTCCTAGACACCATTTCTCTTGCCAGAGCAGAAGAAGATTATAATGCTCCAGACTGCAGATTCATTAGTACTAAAAAAGGACAGCTGATCTATGTTTATTCAAAACTAGTGAAAGAAAAAGACTCTGGAGAATTCTGGGCTGGAAGTGTAAGAGGAGATTCTTGTGTATATGAGCAAACCAGAGGCAGATTAACATGCATTTCTGTCAAGAAATGGATGCTAATGCTGAGCTATTGTTGATTTTAAAGCAGCAACTTGGTTTTCAAAGTGAATGTTTAAACTTAAACTGATTGAGGAGTATTGGGGGGTTTAATTGTATTTTTTTAATGAAATATCTTCAATAACTATATGGTAATTATGAATGAACCTTAACAGAAGGGTTCAACAGTTCTTTTCTGTCGCTGTTTGCTGAAACTATGGAGGAGAAAGCTTTTATCACACTGATCATAAAACTCTCAAATTTAAGGGAAGCAAAGATAAATATTAACTGCATTTATTTAAAAAAAAAAAAATCCAGATAAACTCTAGGTGGTATTAATTTACTACAAAAAATTTATGCCTGTACCAGAACTTTTGTTAATGGTTCATTTCATGTGCCAGCTAACTGGAACCTAGGAAGTCTAAAACCAGAGTAAGAAAGACTATTAGTAACTGCTTTTGACAGAACTATGAACTATGTCAAACCAGATGAGGACTGTTTTAAGGTACATAACTATGCACTTCCTTGCTTGAAGGTTTATGGAGAACAGTATGAAGACCATATGGGGACAGTTGGTTATTTCCCCAGCAGTTTAGTTTCCGAACAACACATCTATCAAGAAGCAAATAAGACTCTTCCTACAACGGTAAGGAATTTGCAAAAGCCCAGCTGGCTACATAATTATACTTGGCTGTGTAATGCTAATTTGCTGTAAAAACAAATCATGACATGGCAGTTGATTATAGCATATCACAGATGCTTAGGGATCCAATCTTTGGGCCTTTATACAGGCAAATAGCCTCAAAAAAAATCCTAACATACACTCTAATACCGTAGACATCACAAATGCTGCAGTAAGGGCTTGATCCTATTAGAGTTCTTACTGATTTGAGTAGCACTCCTTCAAGGACACGCAAGTTTTACCCAAACTGTTTGCAATACACTGCAAGAAGCTGTCTTTATAGTCTGGATACCGTGCTGCGTACTTCTGTAACACATAGAAACACACTTTCTAGTAATGGTATATATAGATGGACACTGTCATAGAGAACTATGATTTACTCTCTTCTTTTTATGAGAAAGCAAGCATGCTTTCAAAGTTACTGGTACCCCTGTCAAAAGCTGAATTAAAATGTTATTGGTTAGTGTTCTGTAAGTAGGCTGTATTTCTGAAAGGGTGATTGTCCCTGATGATGTTCAGTAGTGTCTCGTACACCAGACAACTCTTAATTTTACCGAAGATCTGAAGCACTTCAGAGAGGAGTGGAAGAGGAGGGTCCTTTCACAGAGGCTGATATGGTTTCGCTTGCAACTAACACTTTCCTGGTAGTTTATATCTGTGCTTAAAACAAATTAGGGTACATTTTTGCTAAGTTTCCAGTTACTACCTTCATCAATACTGAATATTTCGCCATATGCCATTTTGAAGTATATGGCAAAGTACAACAATTAGGGCTTCAGTCTTGAAATTGTATATGGAGTTTTTAATCCCGGGTCCAGATTACTAGATGGGTTTCATTAACACAGAGGAAATAAGTGAAAGGAAGAATTTTGTTTCACTTTAATAGTTGCTAGAATTTGTGTTATAGTGTGTCAGGCAAGCTTTATTTGAGGAAATGTGAATCTTGATAAGCAGTTGCTTTTCTTGACACGACATTAGGTTATTCTGAATTTGCCCCAGAAGCATTGCAGCAATTACTGAGCCAAATAACATGCAAAAACACCTAAAATAAGATTCTAAGCTCTTTTCTCAACAATGTGTCAGCCAGTCTGCTGTGTGGCAAGCTGAACAGGAAGCAGAGGTAGGTTAGAGCGATGTCTTAGCCTGCAGGGGCCAGATTGGGCTTCTGTCAGGCTGCAATGCAGAACTTCAACTGGAAAGTAATTTTCTTTCGCAAAACTAGTGACACGGACTTCCGCAGTCATTTCGCCCTTACTTCACGTTCACGCTGTGCAGGAACTTTGCAAGGAAAACAAAGAGCGATGCAGATACATTCTTCATCTTGTTCTACTGCTCTCAGTGGTATGTTGCAAATATGACCTTAAGGATCTGACTTGATTTCTAAGTTTACATTTATACCAGTCTTCAGCCCATGTTGACCAATCTGTGTATGGGCATGGTGCTTGCTCCAGAAATATCCCTTAAAGGTGCTGTTTTATACAGAGTTAGTGTTGCACAACACCACGGATGCCTGTAATGTCACCAGCCTTACCTCTGCAAGTGAGAAGCTGGTGTCTTCTTCACAACTCTTTAACCTTCCACCAAGCCAACTGGCAATTTTTTTGCCTTGCTTCCCTGGCCTTGCACCTGCAAAGACCCAATATTGGTGTTACAATGGGTTCTCTTGGGAAGGGGTTGCCATTTATGTTAGGGGACCTGTTGATGCCCAAAGCTTAAGCAGCACGTGCCCCTGATCAAAGCACTGGGTGGCTGTGCTAGGTTTAGTCAGGAAAGAGTTAACTCTTTTCGCAGTGGCTGCTAGGAAGCTGTTCCACTGTTCCACAGTGATTTACATTGAGAGCAGCACTGATCAGGTCTCAGCTGGCGCTGGGGAATGCCTGCACCAGATTCAAGGTCTTTCTCCCCTTCTGACCCTGCAGCTGCGTTCCCAGCTCTCGCTGTCTCGCTGCAGGCAGTGCAGGGGACACACAGCTCAGGCAGCTGACCCAAACTGACCAAGGGAGTGTTTCATTCCAGAGTACATCATGCTCTGGGTGTAGGAGGGGAGTGGGTCCAGGAGCCTATACTTGTATAAGCAAGATGCCTTTCACAGGGAGAAGCAGTTGAGAACAACACACAGGTTACGCCAGGACAGCAAGCATTTCACTTTTATTTACATAGCTGAACTCGGGTGAGTTTGCAGATGCAAGATGCTGAGCAACATACAGTGCCACAGGCCGACTTAAAAGGTCCTCTTTGTTCCTTGGAGAGGACATACAGAATCCATCTAACTTCCCAAAATCTCGCCCTAGCATGCATGAGGCAAGACTTGTCAGGAGTATTTTAATTAAAATAGGTGCATGCAGATGTACAAAAGGAACTCCTCTACTCTTTTACTTCTTTACACTTGCTAACATTCTCTGTAACTGCTGTGTTAGCTGCTTTGCTAACTCCTTTGCTGGCTTGTTCGCAAGTGAACTGGTGACTTTGTTAGTTTTCCCCGTCCTGCT